TATTTCTGTCACCTGAAGACAACTGAGTTAAGACTGAATAATCTCCCTCCTCTAAGGTATAGGAGCAGGTCAGACGAAGAATAGAGAGGTGGTAAAAGGCTCATAAAAGCTTTAATAGCTCAGTATTTTCTTGAATATACTCTTTCATATTGTCTTAGTTATAAATCCTAAACTTATTTTTATATTGTTAAGAATATCTCTGTGGTCTAGTGTAGTGGTACACACCTTTAATTCCAGCACTTAAGAGGCAGAGACAGATGGATCTCCATTAAGTTCCAGGCCTACAACAGTGAGAACCTGTCTCAAAACAAACAAAACAATAACCAAAACTCCCAGAACGCCTTTATTGAGTGGTTGGAACAGTACGGAAAGGTTTTTCCTAGTGTCTGCATTTTTGAGGTTCATTGCTTCTATATTAAAATGTGATCTTTAATTTTTAACTGAAAGATTCAAATAAGCTATAGAGATATAGATGAGAAATTGTATTTTCTATTCACAAAAGTGTACTGCAATATATATTCATTTTTTCTAGCTTTAATTAAAAGTGTACAAATTATTTTGCTTTGATGACTATTCATTCTAAAAGATTTCTGTTCATCATCTCCAGCATTCTAGGGAATAGTCGTGAGGAACACAAGCCTATACCTCTTGGAACTTTCATTTTTTTTTTAGGAACAAACCACAGTCATGCCATTATGTTGTGTTATAATAACTAAATTTATAAACTACATACTTGAGAATTCAGATTTTTTTCTACATAATTCGGTTTTGAAAAAGTTAAAAAATTTTGTTAGAGTAAAATGAGGAATTATCATTTGGTGAATAGATACACCAAGAAATTCTTTTAGCACTGGCTGCTGTTGCAGGGGATGGTGGTTCAGTTCCAGGAGATCAGACACCTCTGGCCTCCTCAGGTACCTGCATGCCCGTGGTGCACATACATGTACTTAGGCTCACACACAATACATAAAATTTAGAAATCTTTTTTTAGTGTGTGTGTGTGTGTGTGTGTGTCTTTTTTGAGACAGGATCTCTTTGTAGCCCCAGCTGTCCTGGAACTTAACTATGTAGACCAGGCTGGCCTCTGCCTCCCAAGTGCTGGGATTAAAGGCATGTGCCACCACGCCCGGCCTAGAAATCTTTTTTTTTTTTTTTAAAAAAGGACTAGACTATCTTGAAATCTGTGAATTCCATGAGTTCAAATACTAATTTTACATGGAAAATCTCCTATTAGAGACTGACATAGTACATTTTTAGGGGGAAAAAAGACTTGATTAGGGAAGATTATATGATTCATATAAATCCAAATAATTTTTTCCATAAATTGCAAGTACATGCTATTAACTCTCAGACTTCTAAATAACTAGAGAGTTTCCATTATAATTTGATTAAATAACTATAGTATCCACCTTCATATTCAGTCATCTTCTTGGTGAGTTTGCCACTATAGGCAAAGAGGTATCAGTTGTAACTAGTTTATCTATGTGCCTGCCTTTCCAGTTTCCTCCTATCTAAGTATTTATAGAAATAAAATATCCACTTGCAGTTTTACAGAATATGACTGCCTTTAAACCTTCAAGAGGGATATGGTCATTTGACTAACAAAAAGTTATCCTTACAGTCAGATATGGTGGCTAACGCCTGTAATTTAATCACTTCAGAGGCTGAGGCAGGAGGATCAGAGGTTTGAGGCCACATAGCCAGTTTCAGGCCAGCTTGGGCCATATAGTGAGGCACTGTCTAATAAACATTCCTTATAATAAAATGAAAAGAACTGTTTATACATTTTGTCAGTATGTAAAAAAAACATTCTTCCTCTTTACCATCACCATTATCACTGAATTTTTAAGGTAGGCTTTGTGTGTGTATGCGTATGTTTTAAAATTATTTTTTGTTGAACTAGGACAAATTTTGTGGGTAGAAAATACTTTCTTAAAATTATAGAATTAAAAATAGAAATAGGAATAATATTGCTCATGAAAATTTGTTTACATTAAGAGACAAGACAAACTTAATTATTAAGACATATAACAAGTATTTCAAGGTTAAAAAAACTATCACTTATTAATACTATTTAGAGACTAATTTGTATATAAATGAAGATTGCATAATTACTATAGTATATTAGAATTGTGAAACCTTTAATTATGAAAACCTTTAAAAATTATATAGCATTTTTCTATTTAGTTTCTAAGACTGGTAGTTTACATTTATAATAGTTAAATCTGAATTTTATTCAATCCCTGTTTTGAAGTGATCATACATACACACTAGATTAAAAGAAATAATGGGTGTTTAAGAAAAGTTGAAATGATGGAATGTTTTGGCCTGAGCAGCATCTTTTCTCAAAAACTAAAAAAAAAAAAATTCCAACACAAAAACATACCTTCTTATATTTTCTATTCTGGCATGTACAGGGATAGGGAGGCTGTGTGGTCTACTGGTTAGAGCAAAGGACTGGGAGCCAGGAGGATCCTGGGTTCCAATGCGGGCCTAACCACTGACTTACTGTGACCTTGGGCAAGTCACTTGTACCTCAGTCAACCATCTGGAAAATTGGTTAAAAAGCAGGACCTCGCTGACAACCAGATGCTGCATCTGAGCTGAGCTTTCCTGGGTAAATAAAATTATAAAAACAACTTAGAAATTTTCATTCCCTTTTGTAATTTGTAATATGACATTTTGGAGTACTAATAAATAGGGAATCTTTTAAATCATGGTAATATTTGGTTTTAAGTTTCCATAATTGCTAAGAATTTTTATATTAAAACTTAGCCCACAGATTAGGCCTGATATTTGTATTATAATTTCCTTCCTGAGAGAAAAGAATTCTTATAAACCTTGTGGTATATGTTTCAGTACACGTATTGCTTAAAGATTTTTATATGTGTTTTTATTTTTATGTTTAGGCACCGACTTTTTCGTGAACATTGTGTTTGTGTACAAGGGAACTATATAAAGGACTTAAATATCCTTGGAAGAGATCTTTCAAAAACTATAATAATTGACAACTCACCACAAGCCTTTGCCTATCAGGTAGGAAAAAGGTTCCTAAAGAAACCAGTTTGGAAAAATTAAAGACAAATGCTGCCAAAAGATACAATGGGAGGAAACTGGTGGAACTTCCCTGTTTAGTATGTTATCTTTTAGAGATTAGAAATTGTGAAAGTGCAACATTAAATTAAGAATGATCTGAGTAGTGAATCTGAGTAGTCACAAGGTAGCATGCTGTGTAATTGCATTCCTATTTGTTAAATCACTAACAATTATAAACATGCTTGAATTAAAATTCCCTCAATTCTAGTCCATTGACTTAGTATTTTGAAATGTCTTATATTTTTGTGCATTTTGCTAATATTTCTACAATTCTCTGCTCCACCAACTGAGCTACTAAATCACTTTTTTTTTTTTTTTTTGGTGGTGGTATTAGGGATAGGGTCTTTTACCATAAGCAAGTGTTTTTAAAATTAAAAGTATTTTTAACTGGACATGGACATATATGTCAATAGTTCACACCTAAGGCTGAAGCAGACAGGTTGCTTAAGCCCTTTGTGAAATAAATTTCACGTACATTGTGAAATACAAATTAATTTAGCAGTTACTATCAGTTGCAGCGATGCATGGCTATAACCCCAGGTGGCTGTCATCCCAGCATGCTGCAGTGTAGTCAGGGTTATCAGGAGCTCAAGGTCATCCTTGACTACATTGTTCAAGGCCAGCCTGAACTACATAGACATCTCTAATTTTTGTTTAAGTCAGTTTGGTTACCCTTTTTTAATTAAAAAATAATTTTTTTTTTTTTGGAGATAGGCTTTCCCTCCCCAAGTGGCCAGCAACTTGCTATGTAGACCAGGCTGGCCTCAATCTCACTGAGATCTGCCTGCTTCTGCCTCCTCAGTGCTGGGATTAAAGGCATGAACCATCACACTATGCTTACCTTAAATTTTAAAAATGATTTTTAAAAATGATTTTTAGTTTATGTGTATGAATATATTCCCTGCATGTAAGTGCACCTGTGTTGTGCAGTGTCTGCAGAGGGCCCATGAGGGTGTCCAATCCCCTGGAACTGAAGTTATGGATGGATGTTAGCTGCCATGTCAGTGCTGGCAAACGAATCCTGGTCCTCTGCAAGAGCAGCCAGTGCACTTAATCACTAAGCCATCTCTCTAGCCCCTAAAATAGATATTTTATTCTAGAAATTATTCACTATACAAAAAAAGTTTGTATTTTTGTTTTAGCTCTTCAATGAAATAATATTGAAGAAAATAATTTTTTTTCATTCCCTATTTATTAGTACTCCAATCTTTACCTTCAGCTTAGTTTGCCTTTTTATATTTACTTTCCTTGTGTTACTAATTCCCTGTTCCCTACTCTAAATCCAGCCTGGGCTTTGCACTCATAAGTCAATGGAAAAATGCTTAAGCATGGGAGTTTAAGACCCAGAGCAAAATCCTGGTTCAAAAGAATGAAACAGCAGCTGCCATGTGAGGCCCTTTATTAGAAAAACAAGGGGAAAGAACAGAACGAGTACACAAGACGTGGCCCTGTGTAAAAGTGTGCATGTGCATGCTTTCTGATAGTGTCTTGATTGGTGGTATCCGTTTATTCACAATGACTAGCATTGTGCGAATAACTGTTTCCATTTAATGTTTTTAGTTTACCGGTCTTACAACTTGTTTTAATGGAGACTTTCTTGCTGATTAGCTTTGTATTTGACAGTGAACTATCAAGATAATTTATTCATTAACCATTTGTCTCTTGCATTATTGAGTTGTCAGTGAAAGTGGTAGCATTTGTTTCCAAAGGAACTTTTACATCAGATTTATTTATTTTTTTGTTTTCCAAAGTAAACCAATGTGAATTAAAAAGATAACTTATTTATTGTTTTAGCTTTCTAATGGAATCCCTATAGAAAGCTGGTTTATGGATAAAAATGACAATGAACTCCTAAAATTGATTCCCTTTCTGGAGAAGCTTGTAGAACTGGTAAGTATACCTTGCATTCGATTTTGTTTTTGTTAACTATATTGAATAAATCTTGATGTGTACTGGCTTTGAAGGTTAACTTTGAGCCAAGTATGGTAACACATTCCTATAATCCCAGTACTCAGAAAGCTAAGACAGAAAAATCATCAGATTAAGGGCAGCCAAGGCTACATATTTAGTGAGACCCTAAAAAACAGCAAAATAAAGTGGTAGAAGATTGTGGTATAGGTTGAAAAAGTTTACAGTGGATTTATTTTTTATGTCTGTAAGTGTTTTTGCCCACATGCATATAAGAATGCAATGCTCACAGAGGCCAGAAGAGGGCATCGGATCCCTGGCATTGGAGTTACAGAGGGTTGGGAACTGAGCCCCAGTGTTCTACAAGAGCATCCATTGCTCTTAACACTGAGCCATTTCTCCAGTCCCTACAGTGGGTTTGTTTTTTTGTTTTTAAATAAAACTTGTTAATGTACAGACTTGGCTCATTCTTATGTTGAAACAAAGGTTTTCTTGGTATTAATGGTACAGGGGTGATTACTACTGCTGAGGAGGTAGTAGAGGCTATTCTCAGGTACATAGGGAGTTTTTAGCTTTGCCTGGGACTATGGGAAACCCCAGTCTCAATTTAAAAAACAACAAAAAACAAGTCTCATAAAAAGGAAAAAAACTTTGCTATATACAGTTTATTTACATTTGCGTATTGAAAAAGTAAAGTGCTCACATGGCTACTTTGGAGCCATTTGTCATAAAATGCACAAAAGCAATTAAGTACCAGGAAATAAATATCATTCAGGGTAGCAAAGGATTGAGTTTGGCTTTAAGATTGTGAACCCACACTAGATGTGGTGACACATGTCTTTAATCCCAGCACTTGGGAGGCAGAGGCAGGTGGATCTCTGTGAGATAGAGGCCAAGGTGGTCTACATAATGAGTTCCAAGCCAGCTGGGGCTACAAGGCAATCCTGTCTTAAAAGGCTGTGAACCCAGAATTCAAAGGTGCAGATAGTCCTGTGGATCACAGTCTCAGGGAGTATTAGACTTTGTTTTAATTTTGCTTGGTGTTAAGAATAGCTGGAAGGGACCTGAGAGCTAAAATCACAAACAAGAAATCCTGCTCAATATTCCCCAGAAGTGGAAGATCAGATGGCTTGTCGGGGAGGGGTGTGGAATGTGATTACTGGTAACTGCAATGGTTCTGTTCTGCCTCTGGGTGGTAAGCCTTCTAATGATGCAACTGGTATCAAAGGGACATTATCAGCTGCTAGTAAACTGGACCAAGGAATTAGGTTAAGATCTTTAAAATATTTTATTATTATTTATATTTTGTGTAGGAGTGTGTTGCCTGCATGCATATACGTGCACTTGTGTCGTATGTGCCGTGCCTGTGGAGATCAGAAGAGGTTGTCTGAATTCCCTGGAACTGGAGTTGTTGGCCACCATGTGGGTGCTGGAAATCGAACTCGAGTTCTCTGAAAGAGCAGCCAGCACTCTCAACCACTGAGCCATCTCTGTAGCCCCATAGGTCAAGACCTTTAATGCTAGAAAAGAAGTGATATGTGAGGAAAATAATAGAGAATCCAGGAGCATTGGGAGAGTAAGGACTCTGAAAAGGCTTCCCTCCTCTATGGGCTTTAGCAGAGAAATGCTGGGCTGGGGGTCAGAGTCCTCTAAAAGCATGATAAATAATATGCCTCCCCAGGGGAAAGGAGAGGTCATGTGACATGCAGTTTTGGAAAAAAGAAGAATGAAAACAGTGATTTGGAGTCTTGTTTCCAGTTCTAAGCCCTGGTCTTCATTTTCCTTACTATTTTCTGTGAATATTTTTAAATTGTATTAAAATGTTATCTAATTTATAGATTTATAATCTATTTATAGATTGAATTCTTTTTGAGACAGGGTCTCCCTACTGTAACCCCAGCTGTCCTGGAACTCACTATGTAGACCAGGCTGGCCTTGAACTCACAGAGATCCGCCTGCCTCTGCCTCCCGAGCGCTGGGATCAAAGGCGTGCACCACCACGCCTGGCCTAGATTAAATACTTTTACTTCACTGTTTCATAGGCTTCATCTTGAAAGTCACTAAATTATGTTTACAGTAACTCTAAACTGATTTTATTTACTGTCATAATTCACCTCTAAAATGAATACTTTTGTCACTGAATCCTCATTCTAATAATTCTTGTCCACATTTCAGTCAGTTAATAGGACTAGTGTTGAAAATAGAATTCAGTGGCTTAAAAAGTCTAAATTGACAGGGCTGGAGAAATGGCTCAGTGGTTAAGAGCACCGGCTGCTCATCTAGAAGACATGGGTTTGATTCCCAGCACTCACATGCAGCTCACAACCCTCTGTAACTCCAGATCCAGGGGATCCAGTGTCCACTTCTGGCCTCCATGGGCATTGCACACATGGGCGCACTTACATGCAGGCAAAATACACATATACCTAAAATAAAATAAAAAACATTTAAGTCTAAATTTAATTCCAAATCTACTTTTCATTGTATCTCTATAGTCATCAGAATTGGATCAGGTACCTTATTGATACCAGTATCTACCCAAGTGCTCAAGCCCCTTATATAGCTTAGTGTGGTGCTTACATATCACCTGCACATATTCTCCCAAATCCAATGTAAATGCTAAGTAAATAGTTGCATTGTATTACTTATGGATGGCAAAATAGTCTGCCAGTGCAGAATGCAATCTTCTCTAAATCCAATGGTGGTTGAATATATAGATATAGAACTTGGGGTTATAGAAAGCCAACTATTTGGAAAGCAAAATAATGTCAGGATATAAAGCATTGGTCCATTTTCTCCAGAAGAATGTTTATGTTATAGAACTATACCATGGAAATTATGTGGCTTTTTAAAAAGAATCTTTTTCCTACACAGAATGAAGATGTTCGGCCTCACATCAGAGACAGATTTCGCCTGCATGATTTGCTGCCCCCAGATTAAGTTCAGAGACTTGTCAGATCACTGCAGGGGGAGAGAATGCAGGACCCTTTTGGACTGAGACAAAAAACATTGCCATTACTGTTGAAATTTTGCATTTTTGTACCCCGTCTTGCTTTTCTTATCTTTGGTGCCCAATAATAATCAAGGGTTACAGAAAGAGACTTTATCTCAGATTGAATACATACAGTAGGTAGGCTAAAACAGAAGAGTCTTTAGAACTAGTGCAACTCCAGTGAAATTTTTTATGTACAGGACATCTGCAGTTTATAAAGAATTCTGTTTCTGCCACCAGCAGTTTGACCTGTAGTTACACAGGATTTTATGATAATAACAGAGATGAAAGTGGACTTTTCATTTTCTCTCTGTTTGGTGCTCTCAGTGGGTTTGTAGCCACTTTTCTGTTACTTTATGATTCTCATTTCAACAGGAATGGCCAGTAAAAGTTGTTTTATTTTTCCTGTTAAGGTTTATAACCTTTTACATTTCTGACCTGTATTAGATTAGAATTTCATTATGCATTCCTTTTAGTTGAGGCGCTTCATAGTTTTCTGGAAATAGCCAATTTTTAGTTTTTTATTATACATTTGAATGGCCGCTTTCCTGCTTTGTCTGCCTGCATATTGTATATTTGTTTAAAATATTCTCTACTTTTAGTCCATGTAAGTTTCATTTAAAAAACATGCATTTATATTTTGTTCTGTAATATTCTACTGTAGGTGAAATCTTTTAAAAAATCAAGAGACTGGGTAGATAAGACTATATGAATGACTAATATTCAGACATTTTAAACCATTGTGATAACATGTATTCCAAGTGGTAATATCTTGCAATGGCACACAGATTGAATGGATAAAGGTATACCTCAGACTTCACTGTGCTCACTGATCTTTGAGAATGAGTTCAGTCACCTGTTGAGCTTGATTTAGTTACTGCTGCCTTTGGTTTTCTCCAGGAACAAAGTATTCTGCACAGTGACTCAGTATTTTTAGTTACTCTGCATGGGCTGGTAGTACCTCTGTTATGCTCTCAGTTACAATCAATTTAAAGCTCTGTGTAACAGTCTTGGTACCTAACAGTAGCTATGCATAATCCTGTGGCACAGTACACTCCCAGGCCACCAATGCAGTTAAATATGCTCTCATAGTGGTTTTCTATGCTATATGAAAATAGTCTTCAAGCCTTGGTTCTCTAATGCAGCTACCATAAGAGGTTGATATTTTTATAGTGGCGTGTTATCTCCTTTTCAGGAGGCTTTTTATGGAAGGTAGAATTTGTAAAAGTTAGTATGCTTTGCCTCTCAACTGCATTAACATGCCATAGGCTCAGACTGTTTTTGTGTAAAGGATGTCAAAGAACGGCACTTTTTCTAAAGAGAAGTTTGATATTTTGTATGCTTGTTAAGAAAGTACAGTATTGGAAATTAAAGGTGGACAACTGATAATTGAGGAGTATGTCAGTTAATTTTTTATGTATATTACCTGTTTACTTGTACAACTTATTGTACAAATTACATGCAGCTTCATTTTCAAATGAATCCTTAAAATAAGGAAATCTTTTTAGGAAAACATTTAATTTTTGTATTTTTGATTTTAAAGGCATGAGTTGTCAGTTTTCAGTGTATTAATGAAGATTTTAACTTTTCATCAGGTTGAGTGTTTTCTTACTATATTATCTGTTGTGTATGTAGTTAGCATATTGTGTCACTGAACTGTTTAAAAATCTAGCATGTAGAGCAAGCCTGTTTTGTGGAAAATCCTTACTCATTAAAAAAATAATCATGGCAGATTTTCTGCAAAAAAAAAAAAAGCAAAAGCATTTGCAATTCAGAATACTGATTTTTTTTTTTTTTAATTTAAAGAAAAGTATTTTGCTTGCAGGAAAAATACGAGAGATTCATTTTAATGAGAATCTTTGAAATGTATTTATCTTTAGGGCACCTGGGCATCTTTATGCTGTTTGTCTTATGTCTTTCTTGAAATAAAATGTACATACGCTACCTTTACATATGCTCTTGCTCAAAATTGTGAACATAGTTAATTTCTTCCTGCCCCTCTCATCCTTTTAATGCTTATACAGCAAACCCCAAAATCTATACAAGACCTCAATTTTTGGGCACGCATAATTCCTTAAAGTTTTCCTGATTAACAGTCTCATAGCCTTTCCCACAACTTAAAGGGAAATGTAAACAATACCATTGTGCCTGTGAGCACTTTAGTAATAAAAAGCAATTTTAATTATCTTTTAATAATGCTTAAAGATGTTTTCATGCCCATGCTAGAAGAGCTCCTTTAGGTCAGCTAATAAATCAAGAAGAAACTTATGTAAAGATATAAACTGTTGAAAATGTTCTATGGCCAGGAATTTCTTCAGGCCAAATTAATACATTATTTTCTCCATTACTGTATTTGGGTAATTCTAAAGCTGTTGACCCAAAATTTAAAGTTAATTACAAAGAAGCAATTTAGCCAGTTCCTTCTACCTTAGTGTTTTTATCTTCCAGTCATCCCTTGTATTTGTTGGTTAGCTATGGAACACTGCTTCCATCTTGTTAATCAGAGGTGTGTAGCTTTTGAATTGAGATGTGCCCAGCCTGTCAGCTCACACAGCAAATGTGACTGTAGTAAATGCAGGATATGGATCCACGAGGCACAGTGAGGAACCTGTGTACAGATTACAGCTCTGAAGAACCAGTTAAAATCATGCTATTTCCAGTTATTGAATGCTTGACTTTGGAGACATTCTTTTAAGTATTTGTATCATTGTTAGAAATTGTTTTTGATTGGTTGTATCTTTTTAATTCCATGTAATATATGTAGTTCTAGCCAGATTTATTACCACATTTCTCTTTGGGTCCTAAAAGAGAATTGATGACAATTCATAACCAGAAATTGTTTTATATTAGCTAGTATGTATATTTATTTATCCAATGGCTTTATTTGTTTCCCAAAATTGTTTTGGGATTTGTTGAAAGCATTGTGTAACTTCTATAAATGGCTATTTTCTTGTAACTGTCAGTGAAATGGATGTGTACATTGTTTTTATATATACATATATATATATATATATTTCTTGAGGTAATTTTTTTTTAGGGTTAACAATGGGTTGTTTTTTTTTTTCAAGTTACCTTTTGCCAATGACTTTTTCAGCTCCCTTTTACTTTCAATTCAGCCTTGTAAAGAAGTTCATTCTTACTGTTTGTTGTCAACTTGCCTGTAAAAGAGAGACTTCATCTCATCAATGAAGAAAGCATTTCACTATTGCTACAAGTCTTCACAACGAGCACAGAATTCTTCATAAGGACCAGATCTCTTCCATATCTTTGTCAGTCATGTACTTTTAAAATGTAAAGGACACTGACGCCTTCATTTCCTTGTACTGATATGATGGTGGTATATCATTAGATAGGTAAGGTTTTCTGACCTGACTTCTGTCTTCCTAGGTATTTATTTGTTACCTCTTTTAATCCTGTTTGTCTAAATTAACATAGTTAATAGTTACCCATCAAATAACTATGCCAAGCAACTAGGAAAGAATGTTTAGTTTATTTCCCCTTATAGGGGAAGAGTGGACTGGGAACAAAAATGTAAGGCCAAAAGGCCTTCGGTCGTCACTCATCCACTTTCTCATTCCTCTCATGGCTATGTTTGAGTGTAGTATGTTTTGAGTGCTAATGTATATGATTATGCCATTTTCATGTCTTCCCTTGAGTTGAAAGCCTGCTAGGAATTTGTATAAAATACTTTTAAGATTTTCAGAGTAAGAACTGACCACAGAACTTAGTACCTTGTATTCAAATGCTACTTAAATTATTGAAATCCAAGCCTCATTAACTAGGATGCATTTTTATAAAATGTTTCTCTGTATCTTGAATTGAAATTACTTGCCCGGAGGTAAGCATTCTGGGGGATATAAACATGTTTTAAGATCTTTTTTAAAGGATTTAAGAGAGCATCAAGTTTATACTAGTCTATGGTTTTGATATTAGTATTTTAAGATATATCAGTGGTTCCCAAACCTGACTTCATTCGAATGACTCTGAGGATTTTTTAAAACACAGATTCCTGAAGTCTACCCCTGGAAAGGTGCCTCACTGTCTGGAGCAGGGCCTGAGAGCTCTGTATTTTTAAAGCTCTCCCAGTGGTTTGAATAGACAGCTTTGGGATAGCCCCATTTTAAATAATGTGGTTTGAGAGTAGGTAACAAAATTAAAAGTTGGTCATGCATCTCTGTGGTAGTTTTTCTTTTCTTTAAGTACTGGGACAGATTTTACAGGACTTGATTTCAAGGTTCATGGAGGGATAATGAAGATTGAGGCTACTTCTCATCATTTTTGTCCTTCATACTTTTTTATAAAAGAGTTTGCATTTCTAGGACTCATAACTTGCCATTTACATAGCTGAAGGACATGTCCCTGAATGAGACCATTATATATATAGTAATGAAAATATTTCACTATTTTTTTATTTTATAAATCTTTGTAGAAATAAGCAATGAAAAACTACTTTCATCTTTTGAGATGGGATTTTTCAAGGTAGTGTCCTTTTGGCATTAAGGTGGGGGGGAATTAATATTCTCTCTACTCATTTCCACATGAATCAATATAAATCATGGACATTAAAAAAAATCTCAATTTAATTTCTACTTATTTACTATGCAGTATCGCCATGAACAAGTAATGTAGATTTAGTTTTCTCATCTTCAAATGCCCTTATCACCCTACCTCACAGGGTTGTTGTGGGGATAAATAAAACTTTTATGGAAGCACTTTTCTTTGATGATATTTTATCAGCCATCAGAAACAGCTTTTTTCACATTACTTTCCTTTTTCATTCTGACCTTCAGGACAAATCTGTAAGGACCACAGTAGGTTGCAGATCAGAAAAAAACAGATGCAGAAACAAGGTCAGAGCTGTGCCAAGACAAAACTGTGCTGAGAAACTGGGGCTTAACTATTACTACAGAGTGCTGTATCTCCATGCATGCCTTGTGTAATCATGACTGTACAAAGCTTATTTGTATATCAATTAAGTCCACAAAATGTTATAAAAAAGATCAATACAAACTAAGCCTAAAGGTTTTATGCTAGAAGTAAACCACAGCTTCCAAATGTAGTTCTTTGCAGATAAAGGAAATGGGACTAGTAAAGTGTCTTCTGAAGGTCACAGCTGGAGTAGAATATAGGTCTTTGTTCTGTTTCTCAGTGATAACATTAGCAATTACTATAAAACAAGGTGAAATATTTGAGGCCAACCTGAACTAGGGCTTTGGACAGGAAGCTTGAAGAGGACTTTGCACATCAGGCTAAGTTGGGCCAATATAACCGTAAAATAGCATTCTGTTCTCACAACCTCTGTGAATAAGGCCTCTTTTTTTTTGAGACAGGGTCTCCCTGTAGACCTAGCTGTCCTAGAACTTACTGTGTAGACCAGGCTGCTCTTGGCTTCAGAGATCTGCCTGCCTCTGCCTCCTGAGTGCTGGGATTAAAGACGTGTGCCATCATGTCTGGCTGTAATAAGGCTTTTGATAACTACTTAAACTCCAAGACAGTTTGATGTACTTACTCTTTAGAAATAAATGACTGCACTAAAGGTGAATAGTTGGCTTGGGGGTAAGATTAATGGCAGCTTAAGAGTCAAGAGTCATGGTGGTGCACGCCTTTACTCCCAGCACTTGATAGGCAGAGGCAGGCAAATCTCTGAGTTCAAGGCCAGCCTGGTCTACATAGTGAGCTCCAGGCCAGCTAAGGCTACAGGGAGACCCTGTCTCAAGAAGACAAAGTCAAAAGACCAGAGTCTCAATTTGTTCATTTGTAAAATGGGCACACTATGACTTTGAGAAATATAAAGATGAAATACTACCAGAGCTGTAGATCTAGCTCACTTGGGTCCTGTGTAAAGCCCTGGGTTCTATCCCAAGTGACTTTAAAGTTACTACTAAGCCAAAGCTCTGGCAAGGGAGCAAAACTGATACTGTCAGCAAGCTTACACTCTAGCACTGGAGACTGTGCTAGACAGTTACTGTTGGAGAAAGGATCATGGAGAGCATCTTGAGTGCTAAAAATAATCCTAAGTCAAGTCTCTTAAAACATTTCTTTAAAGGACAGGCATGGCTACCAGGGAGGGGTTCAAGCAAAGAAGTAATCAGATTCGTGTTAAAAAGATCACTGCTATAAAGGCAAGAGTGGGTGGGCAGGAGACCAGTTAGGAGATCTGTAACTCCAGGTACCTCTCATGGCACACAGTTGCAATGCCAGCACTTGAGAGTGCAAGCAGGAGGATCAGGAATTAAGGTCATTCACGGCTACACAAGTTTGAGGCTTGGATGGGCTACACAAGACCATCTAAAAACACAGTTGGTTGATGTACTCTGAGGTGCTAGTGTCACAGTGAACAGTTGAGAATGGTGAAGTTTTGGGTAGGGCATGGCTGACTAACCTTGGATTTGTGACACGACTGGAAGAAAGGCATGGCTAGACAGAAATGGAAAAAGTTACTCTGAGTATGGCACCCTAAATGTTCTGGAAATGCAAGTCTTGAGACATGCTTGCTTCCCCCTCCCCCGACTTTTTTTTTGGTACTGGGAAGTGTACCACCAGCTCCAGATGCCAAAATTTTATGTCAAGATTTTTAAGTGGATTTTGTTTTGGGTTCAAGTGTAAAAAGTCACTTAGCTGTTTCAGTATCAAATCACAGAAATGAATTTTCAAGTGATTCAGTAATCTTGGAATGAGATTTTAAAGTTTGTAAACTCGGCATGATGGTGCACACCTTTAATCCCAGCACTCAGGAGGCAGGTGGATCCCAACATTGAGGTTAGCCTGGTCTACATAGTGTAGTAAGTTCCTGGCCAGCTGGGGTTATAGGGAGACCCTGTCTCAAAATATTTTATATATTTATAAAATCCAGATCAGCTCCAAACTCCTGGGCTCACATGATCTTCCTGACTCAGTTTCCTAAGTAGATGGGACTACAGGCAGGTACCACTACCCCAGCAAACAAGGATCACAACCTTGGGGGAGGGTCTTGAATAACAGCTCTAATCTGAGATTAAATTAAAATCTGTTCTTAGGTGGAGAGTGGTGCCACATGCCTTCAATGCCAGCACTGAGAAAGCAGAGGCAAGTAAATCTCTGCTGTAGAGGATAGCCTATTTTGTAAGTTCCAGGCTAATTGGGGCTTCAAGGAGACTGTCTCAAAATAAAAACAACTTCTTCAACTCTTTCCTATTTCACCTATGTGAGATTCTAGGTCAGGTTTAAAGGCTCTTCACTTTAAAAAGCAAAGGGCAGCCTGGCATCATTTTCTGAGGTCATTTAATTGCTATAACTTTACTAATGATACTTCTTTAGCTGAGAGTGTTGGCACATACTTTAAATTTTTTTTTTTTACTATTTTTATGTGTATGAATGTTGTGCCTGCATGTAAGTGCACCCATGTCATGCAATGCTCTTGGAGGTCAGAAGAGGGTACTGGATTCCTCTGGAATTGGAGTTACTGATGGTTGTTAGCCACCACGTGTGTGCTGGGAATTGAACCTGGGTCCTCTGTGAGAGCACTGAGTACTCCTGTTAAGCCATCTCCAACACCTTGGCACATACTTTGAATCCTAGCATCTGGGGTGCTATGACAGAAAGATTGGGAGTTCAAGGCCAGCCTGAGCTACTTAGTGAGTCAAGACCAGCCTGGGCTACATAACAAGATCTTGCCTTAATAACAATAAAATCTTCAAGCAATTTATTTTGTGATGCTGGGAGATCAAATATAGCATGCTCTCAGCAAGTGCTTTACCACTGAGTTACCTCCCCAGCCCCACAGTTTGTTCAAGAGAAATTGTTTTTTGTGAATCTGTCAAACAGGAATACAATCATTTCTCTACACCTGTGGGTACCACACAACCAACCACAGATTCAAAGTACTTGAAAAAAAACTGCAACAGTACTAAAGCTGTACAGATGTTCATCTCAAGTAGTCCAGGTTGGCCTCAAGCTCACTATGTAGCTATGGCTAATCATGGCCTCCCGATCCTCCTGCTTCCACCATCCAGGTACTAGAATTAGATGCATGCTCCATCATGCCTGGTTTATGGTGGTGTTGATCAAATCCTGGATCTTGTACATGCTAGGCAAGCACTCTACCAATTAAACTGTATCTCAGCTTTCAGATACATAGTACCAGGCCTTGAACTTAAACTGTATAGCCAAGGATGGCCTTGAAATTCTGATTCTCCTTTCTGTATCTCCCACGTACTAGGATTACAGAATGCACTACCACATGTGTGGGACTGGAATTGAACCCAGGGCTTTGTGCATGATAAGAAAATAATCTACCAATTTGACTACATCCCCAGTTCCCCAAATCCACTTTATAATTTTATTACTTTTTTTATGTATATGAGTGTTTTGCCTGCATGTATGTTAAGTGCACCAGTGTCATGCAATGCCCAAGGAAGCCAGAAGAGGACATCAGATCACCTGGAACTGGAGTTAAGGACAGTTGTTAGCTGTCATGTGGGTGCTGGGAACCAAACCTAGGTCTTCTCCAAGAGGAACCAATGCTCTTAATCACTGAGCCATCTCTCCCAACCCCCAAAATCTTTTTAAAAATATTTTATTTTTATTTTATGTGCATGAGTATATTGCCTGCATGTAGGTAGGTGCACCCATGTTGTGCAATGCTCATGGAGGTCAGAAGACGGTGTTGGATCCCCTGGAACTGGAGTTACAGACAGTTGTTAGGGGTGCTGAGAATTGAACCTGGGTCTTCAGTAAGAGCAACCCGTGAGCCATCTCTCCAGCCCCCCAAAATCCATTGCATGTGGTTTAATACTTTGAAGTTAACAGCTTCAGGACCAAGAATAATAGATGGTACAGGATAAGAACCAAATAATTATTAGATAAAGGAATGAATAAGCCCATATTTCAAAATTTGGACTTCTAATTCCACAAAACTGATTTAGAGCATCCAGAATTGATGAACTCAGGGAAATTGTTTCAGACTAAACGTTACAACAGTAGTTTTTAAGCTAAATCTCAATTTATTCACTTAATTTCAGCAAGAGCTTGTTTACTGAATAAAACTAGAGAGACCAGAGAGTAAGTGAGTTGCTTTTGTTTTCTGAAATAGGGTCTCACATAGTCCTGGCTGGCCTCAAACTATGTGCTAACGTTGGACTTGAATTCCTGATCCTTCTGCCTCCAACCTATAAATGCTGGGAGTAGAGGCTATACCCAACTACTGAAATGTTAATGCTAATGAAATGTTAATGGCTAATATCAAATGAACATCTGTTAAAGTCTACAGGTCAGAGGTACAGGATATGGCTCAGTGTTTCAGTAGTAGCCATCATCCATGAGTTCAATGCTCAGCACCAAACAAAAACCTTTTTCTCTGGAGACAGCTCAGTTTTGTTACTTGGCCTCACCTTTCCTGCATTTCACCTTTTTTCTGTTAACTTTTTAAAAAGACATGGTTAACATTTTCAGCCAAGTAGGACTAGGAGTTAAGAGCATTTTGTCTAGCATAGCCCTGGTTTTGACTAGTGCAAATAGCTACATTGTCATTTTAGAAAAATATATTCTTTCCTGAGACTCTTTCTTGGGCTAATTATTTGGATCTAGCCTCTTCTTAACAACTTGTTTACTAGTTCAAATTTTGATTAGTACCACCAATGTATATAATAAAAATGTTTGCTACTTTGTCACTCAGCTATATTAATCCTCATTTGTGGCTACTTCTCATGAAGAGAAACACTGGTCTTGTGGGCAGGTTTTTCTTGGGGGGAATAAAAAAAAGTTCTTTTTTCTTTATTTATTTGAGACAGGGTCTTACAGTGTAGCCCTAGGTTGATCTGAACTTCACCACAATCCACCTATCTCAGCCTCCCAAATGCTGGGATTATAGATGTTAGTTACATGTACCACACTAAGAGTCCCAGTCCTGCAGTCCTGCAAAGAAATTTATTCATGTAGTCAACATTTTTAAAATGCCTGCTATGTACAAAAGAGACAAGTATTAATTAGCCTGCAAGGATTTTTTTTTTTGGTCTTTTTGAGACAGTGTCTCCCTGTAGCCCCACCTGTCCTGGAACTCACTATGTAGACCGGGCTGGCCTTGAACTCACAGAGATCCGCCTGCCTCTACCTCCTGAGTGCTGGGATTAAAGGTGTCCACCACTACACCCCGTAAGGCTGCAAGGATTTCTTAACAGCAATCACTGCCTTAGTGTGTATTAAGATTTTTAGTTGAGGAGCTGGAGATATGGCTCAGCAGTTAAGAACACTTGCTGTTCTTCCAGAGGACCTGAGTTCAATTCCCAGAATCCACTTGCAGCTAACAATTATCCATAAATCCAGTTCCAAGGGATCTGACATCCTCTTCTGACCTCCGTGGGCACCACATGATATGGGTGCACTTACACACATGCAAGCACAAGACTCATACACATGAAATAAAAATAGTAATTTTTAAAAAGATTTTTAGTTGTGGTCAAGGACTCACTGGAAAGACGCTGGGGTATTTAAAGGAGACTGGATGACCTGACCTCAAGGAAGGCTCGATGAAGTCAGGTAGCTTGAAGATTCATCAAGTGGGATTTGTGGCCCTTACCTTCAGGATGTTGTCATCAGTGACCAACTCTCAGGCTCTAAGCATCTTCCAAGTTCCAAATTCTAATGTTCTGGGAAAGATAGTTTTTCGGTTATTTTTTACTTTGTAACAATTCCAAAGAGATATTTAAAATAACATTTCTCACAGACTTGCAGGCTGATGAGGTCAGGTAGGCCTCTCTTGCTTGTGGTCTTCCATTGTGTTCAACTGGTGACTGGAGATGAAATCATCTAAGGCTTGATTAGGATGGAAATCCAAAATACCTTCTTCATTCCCACATGTGGCATCTTCAGTCAGGGGCTGGCTAAATATTTCTCCCTGTGTAGCTTCTTGATGTCATTAACTTGAATTTTTTTTAAAGCATGTTGGTTTCAAGGTGTTAAGGCTTCTTAAATGAGTTGTACATGCCTATACTCCAAGCACTTGGAAGATAGGAGGAGAATTAGGAGTTCAAGGCCATCTTCAGCTACATAGAGTGAGTTCAAGGCCATCCTGAGCTACATTAGACCCAGTCTCAAAAAAAAGGAAAAAGCAAAACAAATAAACCTTTTAAAAGAGCAGCTGGCTTCCACAAAAGCATTCCAAAGGCACAGGTTCCAGGTCTTGTTATAGCCTAGGTCTGTGTATACTTCTGTACTATTCATTATTCAAAAAGGAACCATAAGGGTCCAAATTCAAAGGGAGACAATGACATAAAGGCTTAAATATTTTTCACTGGACAGTCAACATTGGAGATGAGTTACTACAAATCTGATGATTTTACTGAGTTGCTTATATCCCATATAGGGACAGATCCAAATTGTATATTCATTGAAGCACAAACTATTTGGAGGGCTTGTTGGAAAATGGTAGAGGTCCACACAATAAGGGAACCTAAACTATAGGTTCAATAGTTTCAGCTGATCTGCTTCTAAACCTTTCTCTGTCTGTGGGGTAAGTCGGCAGACTTATAAGCCAGCAGACATGGCTTTGAGGAAGCTCATCTACTCTTACACATTGCAGCAATTTCTAGAAAAGGAGGAAAGAACTGTGACTTCTCCCATATTCACACCAGAAGTGACCAGCTGAGTAAAAGCAAAGCATTTGAATGACTAGAAAAACCATGCCTTGTGAACTCCACACAGTGAATTTTTTAAACACACCATATTCCACAGTATATTATATTTACATGCCTCATGTACACCTAAAATTGGAATACAAAAGCAACCTAGGTTAGCAGGGTATGGCGGCATATACTTGTAATCTCAGCACTGGGGAAACAGGCAAGAAAACCTCTTAGAGTTCAAGGCCAGGTTGGTCTAATAGTGAGCTCCAGGCCCACCAGGGCTACACAACGAGACCCTGTTTTGAAAAAGAAATTTTTTTTTCTTTTATTATTCATGTTACAGTTTTTTTCTCTAGCTGCTCCTTGAGTGTTGATGTCCTTCAAGGCTTTTTTTCCCCTCATCCTAAGCCATCTTGAGATAGTCACACTTTCCTATCTTCTACCAACATAAACAACTCCTAATTCTCTGTAGTCCAGACCTCTCAAATTCTAAAGTGTATTAACCATTTCCATTTGGATATCCCACAGAAATTTAAAGATCTCTGTGATCAAATGATGTGTCCTGTATTCTTTATTATAAGAGGCACCAATGAGTCATTTTAAAGAAAACTTACTGAGCATTTACTATTTGCCAGATCCTGGAATACAATAGCAAAGAACAGACAAGCAGCCTGTGGTAGCACACAGGCCTCCCATCTAATTGGGAGACAGATGTAAGAGGAGAGACCTATACTGGAGTGCACACTGGGTTACACAGTAAGTTCTAGGCCAGCCTGAACTCATAGTTAAGATCTTGTTTCAGCTCCCTCCCCTGACCAAGAAAAAGAAACAGGCAAAGTACCTGTGCTTCAGATATCAAAAAAGACCATTACAGAATAAATGTTAAGACAAAACCAGAAAACAGGATGGTGAGATGGAGAAGAAATGGGGAGGACCCCTGCAGGAAGATCAAGGAAGGGATTTTTTCAAAGGTAATACCTGACTTTGATGTGAAGTCAAACATGCTAAATGTGGAAACAGTGATGTAGGCAGAAAGCAGCAACAAAGCTCTTAGATGGAAAAAAGCTTAGTAGCCTTATAAATGAAGTAACTGAGGGAGAAAGAGGGAGTAGTGAGGAAGAGGAGAGAGGAAGGAAGAAAGCATGAGCATAGCATGATGTTTCTGAAAAGAGGGACTGTTTATGCAGGAGTTCAGAGGCCAGGAAAAAGGCAACTTTTTTTTTTTTTTTTTGGAGACAGGATCTCATGTAGCCCAGGCTGTCCTCAAACTCACCATGTAGCTGAGGATGTCCTTGCACTTCTGATCCTCTAGCTTCCACCTTCAGAGTGCTGGGACTATAGGTGTGCACCACCATACCTGGTTTATGTGGTACCAGGGGTTGAACCCAAGGCCCTGTGCATGCTAGGCAAGCACTCTACCAACTCAGCTATCTCCCCAAGTCATGAAGTTGAACTTTTTCTAAAAATAAACAAGAAGCCATTAAAGAGATTTCAACTGGAAGGAAGAAATGTTATTTACTACTCACCTATTGAGACGGTCTTAATACTTAGCACAGGCTGGCCTCAAACATGGGATCCTTAGGTTTCTGCATCAAGTATGTGGAGATATAGGCCTAGATCAAAACGACTGGTCTGAATTATGTTTTGAATCAAGCAAACTGTTGTGTAGACAATGTACTATGGAGGAGAAAGAGTAGAAGGAGTACAGCTGGGAAGTTATAAAGCAGTAAAGAGATATCTTAGAATAAGGTGATAGCCAGAGAAGTGGAGGTAAATAAATCCAAAATAAATACAGAAACAGAGATACAGTTTTGGTAATGAGTGGAAGTTAGGGAGAGGGGAGAAATCAAGGATAGTGCTCCAGTTTTTATTTGAGTATCTCAAGAGTCATTACTACTCAATCTCCAAAAGCATATTTTCCTTTCTCATCCCCCTTCCATATTCAGTTGACCACTGGATTTGGGCTCTTCATAGAAACAGATCAATAGGATATACTCGGGACTGATGAGCAGGCAAGCAGGCTGGTGACCCAAGGGAGATCTGATGCTGTGAGCTGGGAGGGGAGGGTGTTAAGGGTAAGAATCCTTGCATAGCATGAAAAGGCTGTTGTTTTCTCCTTAGCACAGCAAACAATTATAATCCATTCATAAAACATTTGTGTATTAGGCACCCTGCGAAGATAAAATTGTGACTATGATTGTGCCCTCAGGAATGTACACTGGCTTTTCTCTACTTTCTCTCCTGCTGACTTTGAATTCACCTTTATAAATGGATGCCTTAAAAATATACCGTCGCCTCTTACTATAAAAGTATCACTTCAAAGACCATGTTTATAAAATGTAGTTTGTTGACTAAAAAGACAGAAGGAACGGTAATTAGAAAGAGAATGGTTGATCACTATGTCTACCACTTAAAAACTTAAAAACACCAAGTATGCGTGGTATACATTAGAAAATAATGAAGTTCGCTCCTTTTCGGTCCTTTACCTGTTCGATTGCGCCACTCAGTCAGGTGAGGGACCACAAGCCTTCTTTCTACCGGACACGTACTGGAGCACGTTTCACCTGGACTCTCAAACTCCCAATTTCACCAGCGCCTACCTCAGGAAGCCTTTCCTGCAACCTCCGCCGTCGTTAAAGTTACCTTTTTACATTTAACCTCATAATGCTTCTTTTTGTTGCAGCCATCGCACTGTGTCGAAATCTGTTTACATAACTACTTGCTACTTGAAGACAAAGTAGAGCTTACGCCTGGCATAGACCAAGAGTTCCGAAATTGTTCTGCAAAAGAATCAATGTGCAGGGCTCAACGGGCTCCTGGGCTGGGAAAACCCTGGGGGGCTGGGGTCCACGTCGGGGCGGCGACCCCCAGAGCAAACGTGCCCCAAGCCCGGCTGAAAGGCTACAGGACGCCCGGCGGTTCCCAGCCCACGAGTACCCCATGGCGCTGGGGGAAGACGGTCGGGCGCCAGAAAAGAGACGAGCGCGCAACCGAGGCCAGGGCGGCAGAGGCCCCACGGTGGACCGCCCCACTCACCCTCCTGCACACACTTTTCCTTCCGGGGTTCCAGGCTGGGGTCACCGTCTCCCCGCCCCACGCGCGCAGGACTGCCCAGCGTCGCGGGACGGAAGCGGACACCCCGCCCC